CCCCCCCCCCCCCCAACACATTGTCTGAAAAAAGCATTGCATGTAAATAATATTTTTAAATTGTTTTCTTATTTATTTTTTAAAAATATCCTTAAACAAGCGAATGAACTTTTAATTCCAAAAATCGACTGTCTCAATAATTAAACATGTTAGATCCTATGATAACTTAATATGCTACAAGATCGCCTTGTGCAAAGCTCGAGAACAAAACAAATTATAGCATAGCAAGTTTGTGTCACGTCTATGAAACTGTACCACAAACTGTAAACTGTACCACATACTGTTAACTATACTACACACTTTTGACTCTACCACATACTGTAAACTCTAACACACACTGGGAGCTCTAACACACACTGGAAACTGTACCACACACTGTTAACTGTGCTACACGCTGTCAACTGTGCTACACATTGTTAACTGTATCTCGCACTGCTCACTGTACCACACGCTGTTCACTGTACCACACGCTGTTCACTGTACCACGCGCTGTCCACTGTACCACGCGCTGTTAACTATACCACACACTGTTGACTGTATCACACACTGTTCACTGTATCACACACTGTTAACTGTATGACACACTGTTAACTGACAACAAGCGTGGAGGGGACAAGTACTTGAAGAAAGCTTCCGTTGAAAGATGTGTTCTTGGTTTGGTTTTTTTTTTTTTTTAGTATTTTTTTTTTAATACCAAAATGCCTCTCAGCCCTTCAAATTAACTCCGGGGTCAAAGGTTAAAATCTGAAAAACCGCAAGCAATTACTTGCCGGCTCTTCCGTTGAAAGATGTTTTCTTGGTTTGGTTTTTTTTTTTTTTAGTATTTTTTTTTTAATACCAAAATGCCTCTCAGCCATTCAAATTAACTCCGGGGTCAAAGGTTAAAATCTGAAAAACCGCAAGCAATTACTTGCCGGCTCTCGTCCACGGCCCAAGCCTTCGTCTGGTAACGGCCCTGAGCGGAACAAAAAAAAACAAAAACAAAAAAAATAATCATAATAATAAAATTAGATGTTAAGAAACCTTAATTACATCTCCTTAAAAACATTCTCATTAAATTTTAAAAATAATAATAATAATTCAATTAAAAAAAAATAATTAATAAAAATTATGTCTTTTTATGAAATTATTTTAGCAAAATTTATTATATTTTTTTAACATCATTTGTATATCATTTTTTTTTATTCTTATTTCTTTAAAATAATGGTGGTTTATAAATTAATTTTTAAATTATTTTTTAATTTTATTCAGTCTTTCTTTTTTTTTTTTTTTTTTTCAAGTTAGTCTTAACACGCATTTAGCTTAACCAAGTTATGATTATTTCCAATTCACTCAAGTTTCCTGACTAAGATACCGTTTAGAATAACTTTATTTTCTATACTTTGTCTCGGTGATCGAGGGAATGCCATTATTCTTACTTCGGGGGATGAACTTTATTTAAACACCGTCTCTTGCCTTTTTTTCTGTTTGTTTTTGTGTTTAAGGATGTTTTTAAATTCAGTATGACATTGTCTTTATCATTGCTGATGTAGTAACAAATACAATAAAATGGTACTGATGTGGTATTAGATAATGTACAGCTGTCTTGATTGTAATATTAAATGACACGATGACCGTACTGATTCAATATTCAAATTTCACTCACAGCCGGTAGATATCCAGGGATGTGCTTATCCTTGACCTTGCTCCACTTTCCCGCCGCGACGGGACACGTGAACGTCTTGTTGACCACCGGGAGCTCGTCCTCCAGCTCGCAAAGTTCCCAGTAGTTGGTGAACAGGTCCTGGCCGTTGTATTTGACCTCCAGGTGGAAGGTGCCTTCTTTGATCTCGTGATCTGGTGACACGGTTGAGGGAAAAAAAAACACGTTTACCAAGACACGTTTATCAAAACACGTTTATCAAAACACTTTTATCAAGACACTTTTATCAAAACACGTTTATCAAAACATGTTGATCAAGACACGTTTACCAAAACAAGTATATTACAAACCAATGCGAATACAAATATTACGATTATCCGGAAGTATGGAAAGAGAAATAATATTTCCCGGTAAATGTTTGACCTCTTATTGTCTTGACCAAGTCCAGTTGGCAAAGCAATAATAATGGTTCTTGTTTAGGTTAAGACGGCTGTTATGGACATGTTATTTCATTATAAAAAGAGATTACCCCCTCCCCAAACTTTAAAAAAACAAAAAAACTACACCAACCAATGAATGAGTTTCGCCACAGATGAATAGATTTTGATTTGATTGATTGATTTGATATTTCTATAGCGCTGGTATCCTCACTGCGCTCTGGTTTTCTTAAATCTATTTAAACAAAAACAGTTTTAAAATGTTTCTTAAATGATTTTTTTTTAAACTTTTCAATTCCCCTCAAAGATTGAGGCAAACTGTTCCATAATTTTGGCGCTATCGCTTCAAAAGAGCGCAGTACGTAAGATTCCGTAGATAGAGAGGCAGCAGGGTGGTTTGGGCAATTAGGCATAGTTGAAAAAATGAATAATGACTAATTTACTTGCTGTTTTTCCCACACTCATTAACATCAACAAAGTATATCCTGAATTAGATGTTTGACGTAACATATTCATAGTGTTTGGAGGTAAAGATACAGATGTTATAATCACATAAAACTTACACATAGAACCTCTACTAAAATGATTTAATGACACGCATGCCATGTGCGTTTTAAGAATATTTGTTTTTTAACCTTGGACACATCAGCCTGACACTGCACCATAGTGTAACAATTTCCTTACTGCACATCATAATGTCATAGAGTTATAATTCACTTACCCCACATCACAATGCAATGTTGTAACAGTACCTACCACACATAATAATGTCATCTTGTAACAGTACCTACTACACATTTATATTTTCATCTTGTAACAGTACCTAACTACACTTTATAACGTCATCTTCTTACAGTACCTAATACACATCATAATGTCATCTTGTAACAGTACCTACTATACATTATAATTTCATCTTTTAACAGTACCTACTACACATTATAATGTCATCTTGTAACAGTACTTACTGCACATCACAATGCCATCTTGTAACAGTACTTATTACACATCAAAATGTCATCTTGTAGCAGTACTTACTGCACATCATAATGTAATCTTTTAACAGTACTCACAACACATCATAATGTCATCTTGTAACAGTAATTATTGCACATCATCATGTCATCTTGTAACAGTACATACTACACATCATAATGTCATCTTGTAACAGTACTTACTGCCCATCATAATGTCATCTTGTAAAATAACTTACTACACATCATAATGTCATTTTGTAACAGTACTCACCCTACATCATAATGCCATCTTCTAAAAGTACATACTACACCTCATAATGTCATCTTGTAACAGTACTTACTGCACAGTATAATTTCATCTTGTAACGGTACTTACTACACATCATGTCATCTTCTAACAGTACATACTACACATTATAATGTCATCTTGTAACAGTACTTACCCCACATCATAATGCCATCTTGTAACAGTACTTACCCCACAATTATAATGCCATCTTGTAACATTACTTACTACACATCATAACAGTCATCTTGTAACAGTTTGTTTTTGTGGTTCTAAATGTGGGTGGGTGGGTTTTGCTTTGTGTGGTATTCAATGGATTTTAAAAGTAATGATGTATCACTGTGTTCTGTTCTTCGTGTTCTGTTCTAGGTGTTCTGTTGTAGGTGACTTGGACGAAATGGTCAGAGGTTTCATAATAATCAATGATTCCACACAAGTTTGTATGAGTTTAAAAAGATATACATGTCCATACATGAATTATAAACATACCGACAGCCGTACAGTCAACACTGCTTTATCATCTTTAAACCATGATATCAAATCGATGACCTAGCTTATTCAATCTATCATTACATTAGAGATGTTGTTTGGGTTGATGTATGTGCTTATGGCTAAGCTATGCTACTTTCTCATACCCCCCCCCCCCCCCACAAAAAAGGTTTTTTTTTTCCCTAGAACTATTGATTTTCATTTTGACTTCATTACTTTTTTAAATATTTTTCCATTTTTAACTTTAATATTTTTTTATTTAAATTTTCTTTTTCAGGACATTTAGTATTCTTGGTCTGTTCATTTTAAAACCAGCTTTTGACCACTAAATTATTAAATAAATTATAAAGTAGCACTCGCAAACATAAAACGGTGTAAGGGGCAAGAGTTCAGTGATGTGTAAACTATGATGTGAGAAGATGTTCACACTGAGTTAGGTTACCTATAGTGATATTGAGGTATGTCCTTGCCAGCACACCGCCCCGCTCTTTGTCCTCAAGGAGTACAACACTTCCTAGCTGACTGCGAGTGCCTTCTATAAATAGATTTTAAATTTTAAAAAAAAAAAATAATATCTATTGGGAATTTCCAATTATTTTACAACCATTTAAATTACAATTAAATCGACTAGACGAGATTAAGTCAGTATCGTCTTTCCTAAATCAACTTTTAAATTTAAAACTAAGATTTAGCCAGTCGTTAATTTGAGATCTTAGCTAACATTTAACAAACTTTGCCAACGTTTTTGGTTGTTTAAAAAAATATTTAAAAAAAAAAAAAAATTAAGTTTGAGTGGGTATAAAACATATAAGGGGATTTAAACACTACTAAAATTTTAATTCAAGTATTGAAAACATTAAAGGACAAAAAGTTATCAAAGCAAGTTACCTCGGAGATGCAATCGTTTGTAATATGTGAAGTTACCATGGAGGTGTAATTATTTGTAGTATGTCACGTTACCTTGGAGAGGTAATAATTTGTAATATATCAAGTTACCATGGAGAGGTAATAATTTATAATATGTCAAGTTACCATATACGTGTATTCATTTGTAATTTCGATTTTTGTTAAAAGTGTGCTTCATTACCTGACGGTGTTAACATAACAAATTCTAAATTTAAACCTAGTGTATCTATCTAAAAAAGTTATAAACAGGACCAAACCGAATTTAAACCTAGTGCATCTAACCAAACATGTTACAAACAGGACAATACCAGATTTAGCCTAGTGAATCCAACAAAACACGTTACAAACAAGACCATATCAGATTTAACCTAGTGCATCTAACCAAACATGTTACAAACACGACCATACCAGATTTAAACCTAGTGTATCTAGCCAAACATGTTACAAACAGGACCATACCAGATTTAAACCTAGGGTATCTAGCCAAACATGTTACAAACAGGACCATACCAGATTTAACCTAGTGTCTCCAACAAAACACATTACAAACAGGACCATACCAGATTTAACCTAGTGCATCCAACCAAACACATTACAAACAGGACCATACCAGATTTAAACCTAGGGTATCTAGCCAAACATGTTACAAACAGGACCATACCAGATTTAAACCTAGGGTATCTAGCCAAACATGTTACAAACTGGACCATACCAGATTTAAACCTAGGGTATCTAGCCAAACATGTTACAAACAGGACCATACCAGATTTAACCTAGTGTCTCCAACAAAACACATTACGAACAGGACCATACCAGATTTAACCTAGTGCATCCAACAAAACACATTACAAACAGGACCATACCAGATTTAACCTAGTGCATCCAACCAAACACATTACGAACAGGACCATACCAGATTTAAACCTAGGGTATCCAACAAAACACATTACAAACAGGACCATACCAGATTTAAACCTAGGGTATCCAACAAAACACATTACAAACAGGACCATACCAGATTTAAACCTAGTGTATCCAACAAAACACATTACAAACAGGACCATACAAGATTTAACCTAGTGCATCCAACAAAACACATTACAAACAGGACCATACCAGATTTAACCTAGTGTATCCAACAAAACACATTACAAACAGGACCATACAAGATTTAAACCTAGGGTATCCAACAAAACACATTACAAACAGGACCATACCAGATTTAAACCTAGTGTATCCAACAAAACACATTACAAACAGGACCATACCAGATTTAAACCTAGTGTATCCAACAAAACACATTACAAACAGGACCATACCAGATTTAAACCTAGTGTCTCCAACAAAACACATTACAAACAGGACCATACCAGATTTAAACCTAGTGTATCCAACAAAACACATTACAAACAGGACCATACCAGATTTAACCTAGTGTATCCAACAAAACACATTACAAACAGGACCATACCAGATTTAAACCTAGGGTATCTAGCCAAACATGTTACAAACAGGACCATACCAGATTTAACCTAGTGCATCCAACCAAACACATTACAAACAGGACCATACCAGATTTAACCTAGTGCATCCAACCAAACACATTACAAACAGGACCATACCAGATTTAACCTAGTGCATCCAACCAAACATGTTACAAACAGGACCATAATACAACAAACCCACCACAAGCGCTGTACACGGCGCCGATAGAGACGAAGTTGTTGCTGTCCAGAAAGCCCTGCCAGTGCTCGCCACCCGCCACCTCGGTGTCCTCACGTTTGTAGTCCACGTAGCTGTCGTACTCAGCACCTCTGTCCCTTGTGTCCAGCGGTTTAAACGACACGGGCCTGTCCTCGACGAAATTGAACCGACTCTGAGGTTTCTTGTTCATTTTCAACAGAACGTCGGCCGGGGGTCTGTTGAAGTATTTCAGATACAGCCCCATCAGGGATAGAGATACTAGTGAACATATAACCAGCTTGGCCAGTCGTCTGTAAGGCATATTTTTTTTAATTCCTTTTCCTAGGTTCAGTGGTACAGATGCCACAAGTTTTAAATTCTAGTGTCAGCCCTTGTCACGTTCATGAACTGGACAATGAGACGCGACCAGTAGAAAAATTGGGCTTTTGATTTTTTGTAAGATCAGATGATCTTAAAATTTGCATGAATGAGACGGTATGTATCACAAAGTAGATTACTTCTAAAAAAACAATCACACATTTCAGCGTCAGTAAATGTTACGCTGGCTTATCACCTATCACACACAAAAAGAGTGTCATTCTCTTATTATTTTTTTAATATGACCTACATTTACCAATGGTTGCTAAAAGAAATGTTTGAAATCTTTATATGATAATAATATGAGTTCACATCTATCGAAAATGAGTTCAAATCTATCGAAAATGAGTTCACATCTACCGAAAATGAGTTCACATCTATCGAAAAATGATTTCACATCTATCGAAAATGAGGGCCGCAGCCGTTCAGAAGCAGGTCACAAGAATCGAACACCATTGAAAATAACCAAACCGTCTCTTGGTCTGACAAATGTAGTACGTCTTTATTTTTTTTAACCACACTTCAGTCGGACAGTTTGTACAGTGTGTACAGTGTACTATGCACTTCCGAGACAAGTGGTGTCTACTTTAGGACCTGTGACCGGTTGTTGCTGTCTCTTCACTCTGATTATCACGAGATACGCAAACGCGCTTACGGAACAAAGTATGCTGACTCCATCACAAGTAAGGGAGATTATCTTCATGGTCGTGGGGGATGGGGGGGGGGAGGGGGGGGGTCACTTTCTGACCTGGTTATCTGTCCTACTGCTTTCTAAAGTTATCCATATATTTCAGGGGTGGGTTCACAAGTTCAGTGCAAAAAAAAAGAACGTTTATTCATCCAAACATAAAGGCTTGTAACACTATATGTATGCTGACTCCATCACAAGTAAGGGAGATTATCTTCATGGTCGTGGGGGATGGGGGGGGGGAGTGGGGGGGTCACTTTCTGACCTGGTTATCTGTCCTACTGCTTTCTAAAGTTATCCATATATTTCAGGGGTGGGTTCACAAGTTCAGTGCAAAAAAAAAGAACGTTTCTTCATCCAAACATAAAGGCTTGTAACACTATAGACGCACATCATTATAGAACCAACATTCTACGTCAGTCCTATGGTCCTATAAAACAACCATGTCTTGTGATAATTAAACAGACATTAAAAAGCAAGGGTTTTTTTCAGGATAAATGATTGAAATGCAATCTTTGGTTGCACTTTTGTAAATGCACGTGACTTTTCATTTATAAGATTGTGGCAAATGGTTTTGGTGTGGGAATGGTTTTTAATCAAACTTAGTCCTGGTAAAGCCTAATAGACTAAGAGTATACTTAAAAACCAAATTCGTCACAAATACGAAGCACATAGCAACCGCTACACAATTAATCTCCCCACCAAAACACGCACCCATTGAACAAATCATGTTCCATTCATCTTGCGTTGAAAAACAGGCAAGCCAGAGTGATGTGGGTTGTGTGTGTGTGGGTTGGGGGGGGGGGTAGGGATGGGGCTGAAAATTTGACAGAAATAGTTGTCATAGATAACGAGTCTATGTGACAAGCTCAATAGGATGACGGGAAGTGGGTCGATTAACTGTCCGAAGATTTTGCCGCCACAAAGAAACACACGAAAAGCGAAGTTATTATGAAGGGCTTTAAAAAGATAGCAGTGATAGTCCATTAAAATGACGTCTGCTCAGTGTGCAGAAGCCGTAACAAGACAATACACGGGCTAAGTCCAATCTGTGTCACAGCTAAGAAGAAAAATAACGAGTAGGATGAACCATCGCACACATGCTGCAGCAGCTATAAATAGACAATGGTCATCATAGACAACCAGTGAAACATCAAGGACAACCAGTGGACATGATAGACAACCAGTGAACGTCATGAACAACCAGTGAACATGATGGACAACCAGTGAAACATCATGGACAACCAGTGACCATCAAAGACAATCAGCGAACATCTATGACAACCAGTGAACGTCAAGGACAACCAGTGAACGTCAAGGACAACCAGTGAACGTCAAGGACAACCAGTGAACATCAAGGACAACCAGTGAACATCAAGGAAAACCAGTGAACGTCAAGGACAACTACTGCTGCTCACTGCTATGCTAAACAAACCGATTTAGTCTATATTAGTATGTATTTACACTTATTTATCATGTACATCTTGTTTATTTCTCGTGTATTTCTCGTGTATTTCTCGTTTTTCTCGTGTATTTCTCGTGTATTTCTCGTGTATTTCTCGTGTATTTCTCGTGTATTTCTCGAGTATGTCTCGTGTATTTCTCGTGTATTTCTCGTGTATTTCTCGTGTATTTCTCGAGTATGTCTCGTGTATTTCTTATTCACGAGGTTCATAACACCGTCATAGATACTAAAAAAAATTAATTAAAATTTGAATATAGAAATATGAAAACATTTATCATCACGGACAAACGAACGCGGGAGATATCCCATTAACCTTGACCCATTGATCTGGTCCAATTTTATCTAGTTTCTAATAATATACGAAACAGACACTAGGAGATAGCAAGCGATTGCACCATTAAAGGACACGTGTCTCTATTTTTCAATTAACAAACTAAAACTTTTCTACCATTAATTTTAGAGGGTAAAGAGAAAACCAACGTGTCTCCTGGTGCCTTCTAACTTCAGTTGTTTTTCGATGGCGTATAACAGTAAAAAAAAGACTTAATCAACTAAAGCATGGTTAAAAAAACAGACTAAATTTCATTTTGATTGCATGAAACTACCTTTATGTTTAAAAAAAAACTGTTACAACGAAAGTTTGGTGCTTGCAAGGGAAGCAACTTTTAAAACATTTTCAATGAGTATTTTACCAAGTTTGTTCCCTTGCTATATAAATTTTACCCTTTCATTTTCAATATGCATTCCTATTTTTTTAAATTGCTATCTAAGAAAGTGTAAATATAATTTAAAAAGACGTTAAGAGTTTGCCAATGAGGGGCTTTTTAAATTTTTAAATCAATCGTTCAGCCCCTTGGTCGAGTCCTGGCTTTCTTGATGGCATATAAGCTGAAGGGGCTCAGGGCTACTTGCCTGGCATCGAGCGTCTGTGCATTGAGTAGAGATCAAAACCACTTCTTCCAGTTAAAGCCTCAAATTTAATTCCAACATAAGTATATTTACAAATAATAAATGGGTTTGTCAGTAGCCCCTGCATCGGGATGCGTTTTTTATTGTTCTATTAATATATATCATATCATATCATATCATTTCATATCATATCATATATATATATATAAGTGAACTTTTGAGGGTTTGTTCCACAAAGGCTTTTACATGGCTTGATGGATCTTGACCAAACTTGGTACATATATCCATCATGATCCAGGAAGAAATCGTTTCTATACTGTCCCAGAGTTTACTATTCTCTCAGTAAAACTGGCTAAAAAATTTTTATACGGGATCCCAAAAGGGTCGGGATCCCATCATAATCTTTATCCCAACGGGATCAGGATCCCACCCGAAAATAAGATCCCACCGGATCGGGATATTAACCTTGAATGGATCCACTGGGATTGTGATAACACCGGGAAACTGGACTACGCAGAGTCGGTGTCAGAATGGGATCGGGGTCCCAATGGGATCGGGGTCACACCAGGATCGGGGTCCTAATGCACTCCCGTACAACGCCGGGTATATTGGCTAGTCATATATATATATATATATAAGTGAAAGTTTGTCTGTTTGTCTGTCTGTTTGTTCCACAAAGGATTTTATATGGATTGATGGATCTTGACCGAACTTGGCATATTTATCCATCATTATCCAGAAGGAACTCTTAAGGGGTTATAAACTTTTTATAACATTCCCATTGGGGTCGGGGATCGGGATCCCAGCGGGATCTGGATTCCCCCTGATATCGTAGCCGCAAGAAAACGGGATCCCATCGGGAACGGGATCACACTGGGAAAAGGCATTGCGCCGAGATCGTGGTGAGAATGAGACTGAGCATGATCCCTTTGAGGAACAGGATCCTAATGGGGAAAGAGATCCAACAGTAAACTGGAACCCGTGGGTAACCTCTCGGGTAACGGGATCAAACCGGGATCGGGATCCTATCGGGAAAAGGGACAACATCGGAAAAAGGGGGTCCCTAGGTGGAACTGTATCCCACAGAGGATGGTATCCTAACGGGATCGGTAGCCCATTGGGATCGGGATCCCACCGGGACCTGGATCCCCCTGGATCTGGAGATACACAAAAAACGGGATCAGTCCGGGATCGGGATCACACCAGGAAAAGGATTGCGCCAGGATCGGGATCAGAATTGGATTGGAGTCCCATTGGGTTTGGGGTCTTACCAGGAACGTGCAACGCCGGGTTTATTGGCTAGTATATATATTATATATATATATATATATATATATATATATATATATATATATATATATATATATATATATAT